ATACAAATCAGCATTTACAAAATAGGCAGAGAGTCTCATTCAATGAACAGGAAGTTCTATGTCACTTAAAAATTATCTTAAGCAAGTTCAATGTGTAGCCACTGATACTGGTAAATATCAGTTAGGTTGACTTCTGCAATGACCATGACGGAGTAACAAGAACTAGAGTTTCTCTCTCTCCTGAAACAACCAAAAAAAATGGCCAAAATATACACCACAAAAGTTTGTAAGACACTATAAAGTCAGTTTCAAACAAGGTGAGCCAGACAACTGACCTAATTTAAGCCTGGAGGAAGTTTCCAACCCACTACTCCAAGAGAAGAGCCCAGGAGGAGCTCATTGTTCTCCCTGAGCTGAGGGGACAGAGCTGAGAGTCCAAGGAAACCATGTTGACATGAGCTTTCAGGACAAGGTTTCAGAGAAGAAGGGGCTGCATAGAAAGTGAACTCCGGAGCTCTGCAAAGGGCCCCCTAAAATACATAGCTAAGTACTTGTTAGGACAGGCCAAGAGAAACATGCCTAAGGTTGGAGAAAGAACACCCAGAAAGGATAAAAAATAACAGTACACATGCTCACCAAGGTCCAGGAATAGTGCTTATTTTATCAGCCACACCAGAAACACTTCGAGATTCCCAGGGATACACAAAATGGTCTTGCCCCACTAGTTGGGAATAATTAGCTCTAAAATGAGCACTGGTCTGATCCCACCTAATACATTTTAAAAGCAAGACGAAAAAGAGTCAAACTCTTTCCAACTAACTTAAATGCATGCCGATACAAAGATCAAGAATATTTTTATATATTTTCAACACTCAGTAAGATAAAATTCACCATATCTCACATCCAGACACAAATTAGCAGAGATGTGACAGCAACAACAAAAAGCAGAAAAATATGGCTCATAATAAGGAGAAGAATCACTCAGTCGGAACTGATCCAGAGTAAATACAGATGTCAAAATTATCAGTTAAGGACACTAAAATGCTTATTAAAATAGTATTCTACATAGTCTACAATAGAAACATGCAAGATAGAGGCTCATATCAAACTTTAAAGCAAATTTATAATGTGTGAAATGAAAAAAAAGTACCAAAAGGGACTAATAGCACATTAGGCATTAAATAAGAAAAGATAGACACCCCTCAAAATAAAATACAGAGAGGAAATAAAATTAAAAATAAAAGCATGAACAGAGTGATAGTAGACAGTAAATTTCAAGTAACAATTTATGTGTAATCTAAGTTCCCAAAGGAGAAGGAAGATGTGAAAACATTTGGGACTTTGAGTAAGGCAAAGCTTTCTTTGATATGACCCCAAAGCATGATTGATAAAATAATATATTGATAAGAAGAACTTATCAAATTTAAAAAAAGAATCTGCTCTTCAAAAGAATCTAGTAAGAGACTCAGAAGACAAGCTACAAGCTGGGAGAAAATATTTGCAATTCATATATCTGATAAAAGACTTGCATCAAGAATATATTTTAAAAGTACAAGATTTAATAATGAAAAACAAACAACCCCATTTAAAACTTGGGTGAAAGACTGGAACAGACATTTCAAAGTAGACACTTGTTTGGTAAATAAGCACATGAAAATACGCTCAACATAATTAATGCTTAGGGCAATGCAAATTAAAACCACAATGAGACGCCACTATCTATTTTTAAATAGCTAAGATTACCATGACTGATAATAATCAACATTGGCTTGAATGTGGAGAAGCTGAAACTCTTATACACTGCTGATGGGAATAACATATTGTAAGCTTTGAAAAACAGTTTAAGAGTCCCTTAAAAAGTTAAACATACTTCTATCATAAGACTCAGTCATTGCACTCCTGGCTATGTACCCAAGAGGAATGAAAGTAGGTGGCCAGGCATAATGGCTCATGCCTGTAATCCCAGCACTCTGGGAGGCTGAGGCAGGCAGATCACAAGGTCAAGAGTTTGAGACCAGCCTAGCCAATATGGTGAAACCCCATCTCTACTAAAAATACAAAAATTAGCCAGGCATAGTGGTACATGCCTGTAGTCCCAGCTAATTGGGAGGCTGAGGCCAGAGAATCATTTGAACCCAGGAGGTGGAGGTTGGAGTGAGCTGACATCGCACCACTGAACTCCAGCTTGGGTGATGGAGGAGACGCCATCTCAAAAAAAAAGAAAGAAAGAAGAGAAAGAAAGAAGAGAAAGTTAGAAAGAGAGAAAGAAAGAGAGAAAGCCATCTAAAAAAAAAAAAAAAAAAGTAGGCGTTCATATAATTATATCAATACAAATGTTCATAGCACATGTATTTATAATAGCTCAAACCAGAAACAGTCTATCCATCAATACATCAATGAACCAACTTGCTTTATCCAAATCAATTATTGATAGATGCTGTAACATGAATGAATCTCAAAATAATTGTACTGAATAAAACAAGACAGACTCTGGACTTAAAATATGCCCAGAAAAAAACATACAATGTCAGACAAAAAGTACACACTTAATATTTTATTTATAGAAAATTTTAGACTGTATAAATGACTGTATAGTGACAGAAAGCAGTTCGGTGGTTGATAAGGGCCAGAGTGAGGGGGCAGAGAAACGGACTCAGGAAACTGTTGGAAGCGAAGTATACTTCCATGACCTCAATTATGTGGCGATGGTTTCAAAACTTTCAGTATGTTTAGTTTTTATATGTTAATTATACAAAATAAAGCTTATAATAAAAATATGAAGACTGAACCGAGGTTTCCTGTGTAATGATTTCCTGAGCCTTTACTGACCATGGCATATACAACACTGGCTGATAATTTCAATTGATATTAACAAGCAAGCTGGTTCCTGTACACTTAAATGTACAATTTGTTCCTATCCTATGTCTTCCATTTTAAATGAGTGATCTTGAAAAATCTCTGCATTTTTCTTTACGCCCACATGGCATGAGCACCTGCTATCTGCTGGGCCCAGTGCTAGGTCATTCCATCTACCATATCACAGTAAATTAAAATGCTGGTTGTTATTTCTGCTCTTTCTCAGAAACTATGTCTATCTATTATTCAATGGAGAAAAAATATCCTGTTCCTTAAATCAGTGCCCTGCCCAACTTCTTTTTTTTCCTTTTTATTTTTCTTAGAGAAGTCATGCACTGTCACCCACGATGGAGTGCAGAAGCAGCGCTCGGCTCACTGCAACTTCCACCTCCAGGTTCAAGCGCTTCTCCTGCCTCAGCCTCCCAATCAGCTAGGATTACAGGTGTGTGCCTGGCTAATATTTTTGTATGTTTAGTAGAAATGGGATTTTGCCATGTTGGCCAGGTTGGTGGTGATCTACTGACCTCAAATAATCCTCCCGCTTCGGTCTCCCAAAGTGCTGGGATTACAAGCGTGAGCCAATGCTCAGGCCCCATTTTTCACTCTCTGGAATGACAAATCCACATAGTACGGATGATCTCTGATTTCATCTTTTCGGGCCTGAATCTTTATTTATTTATTTTTTAAGGCTAAAAGAAGCCTTAGATAAAATCAATCAGAACATTCCATTTGTAACCCAGGGTAGGTTTCAAACCTCATGTTTCACGTTTGAGGTTCACAATGAAAGTGTTCCCTGGTTAGTCCCACATTGATCTGGCTATGAAGCTATGAAGCTGCTTCCCTGCAAAGTTGATTTTCTCTTGGAAGCCAATCCTTGAGTAAATATCATGAGAAGGGTTTATCCACTACCTACTAGCTTGATGCAAACTATAATTGACCCGACGAGACATTAAGAATTAATTTGAAGGACATAAGCCATTATTACATAAAAGTCAAAGGACTTCCTTTCCATATCATTCCGTGTGATTACGTGTACCTTATGCTTGTGGCTGACCAGAACGATACCACACTATAGATGGCAGATTAGTTCTCATGGTTTCGGTTTATGTCTATCTGGACAAATCTCCCATTCCAATGTGTCTTCACTGTAGAATCTACATCTATGACTTTTAGAAGCTTTCAAAAGGTGTCCCGGAGCTAAGTTCTTGGTTACGAAACTGTTAACTAGATTTAGACATTTAGATAGATATAGGGCTTTCAATTTGGGTAACTAAAGAAGTTTAATATATGCAAAAAGAAAAAAAAGGTTAGCCAGGGACAGATAAGACATTTTTTCCAGTATATTATGTATAGATCAATTTGATTATACAATGAAAGAACAAGTATTCAATCCCCCTGTATGTTATAGACCGCATGATATGCTGCAAAGTAAATAAATATGCATTAATTAGAAACAGTGAGTTCTAGTCCAAATCCCAGTTCTGCTGCCCGTAAGCTATTTGGCCAGGGATAAACAATCAGCACTCTAAGATTTTTTTCTTCAAATCTAAAAAAGTGGCTGAAAGGACTTCTGGCTTACCAAAATCAGAAAATTCCTGAGAGAATCAGATAGATAATATGTAAAATTCCTTTACAGAACTGTAAACGCCACATACACATTTAAGCTTGCTATAGTAAGTCTGACTTTTAGAAAACAAAAGGGAAAATCTGAAGTAAAGAATATTTCCCAGGAGTAAGGAGACCTATATCCAAACTCTACCTCTTCCTCAGAGAAGCTGTCTAATTGCTAAATAAAGCCTGGATTTCTGTTGCTTACCTATAAAATGATAAAAGTAAAATGAAATATGCAAAATCACAGATTTCAGTGTCTGTGCTTTTTGCAAAATATCACAGATTACACAAAACTCTCCCCTCCACTTCCAGGTTGTTCATTTCAGTAGAACAATTACTTGAAATTGGATGGACCTGCAGCTATTTCCAATGGCCATGTGTTCCACTACAGAGATTCTAATCTTAAGTTATTAGGGTTGGTCAAAGAAGAAACAACTTAAAGAGCTTTGATACATCCTCAATTAAATGATAAATGGGTGTCAATGTAATGCTGATCAAATTCAAATTAAAAATTGAAGAACACAGTGATCTTTCATACTCCTTAGACATCCTAATGCATTTCAGATGTACATTATAAAACCCATTATCCATACCTGAAAGGGCTGCCTGCTGGAAACGTTGAGGTGTTTCCTTATCCATCTGTTGCCTTGATTCCCAAATATCTGCCACAACAGCTGTCCTTTTGTGTCACTCCAGATTCGCTGGTAGATCGCCAACCTATAAATGTGCTTTCCAAACATGTGGTAATAGAAGCGGAAAGTGCAGCCTTTTGTATCAGTGGCATGAAGGATTGGGCTGAGTAAGGCAGCACTGTCTTGAAAAGCCTGTGGCTCTGAAGATTCTATGTAGAGATAATGTCCTTTAGCTGTGCCCAGAGTATTATCTTTCATTGGCCCTGTGTTAAGTGTTGACGTTGGACCTTGGTTCCTGGTCCAATTGAAGTCATCCTTTGTATCTTGTTCCCAGTTACAGATTCCATTTTCAAAGTTACACTGCAGCTCAGGTGCTGAAATTCACATTAAATTAGAGTAAAAGATGATTAGGGACAAAAATACATGCAACCACATTCTATTTATTAATATTTAAAGAATGCTAGTTGATACTTTGCTCATGCCAAGGTAGCCATTTTATTTTTAAAATGAAACAGTGAAGTTTAAAAAAAAAAAGAGTAACTACAACCTACATGATACATCAAGTAATAATATTTTATGAACTAAAGATGGAATTGCTTTGGACACTTTTTTCCAAATACTTTTAATGCACATCTCTTCACCATTTCTGTGACCATAACTCCAGGCAAATGATCATGACTCCATGTCTGGCTCACTGTGAGAAACTTCTGGCTCAGTGGATTTCAATCTCAACTGAATGTTCCAATTGCCAGGAAACATTAAAAAACAAACACTAAAGCCAAGAATTCACCTCCGGAGGTATTGACGTAATTGCTCCTAGTGGTAAAGCCATGTATCAGGATTTTTTTTCTAAGTTTCCTTGGTGACTCTAACAGGCAGAGCTGAGAACAATTGTTTGTTAAGAATCACCCGGAACTCATGGTAAAATTGCTTAATTCATGGTAAAAACATTGCAACAGATATTATCTTACTGGATATAGGGTGAAGCCCAGAAATCCACATTTTTAACAAGCACCCTAATGTAGATGTTTTCCTGACCTCAATCCCAAAATCTTGCCTTTGGTGCCATCTCATCCTGGATCCCGGTGTCTGAACACATCAGTGCCAAAGGAACAATCCTTCAATGGCAGTTATACCACTTTCTTCTCTAATCCAAATTCTTTCATACATGCTCATAGAATCTAAACTGAAATCAAAACTCTTCTGTCTTTCAGACTGTACTTTCCCCATATTAAAATGACTGCCTGGTCCCTAGCTATTCTTCCCCTTAGCCTGCACCACCTTCCCCATGTATTCTAAACACCCCACCTCTTTCTCTACCTCTGTTTCCCCTAATGTTAGGTACATTCCTTGCCATTTTTTGCTGTGATCTCATAATTATGGGTCTTTTCTTCTCACTGGATTACAGCTCCTTCGAGCTGCAGCTTTTTTTTTTTTTTTTTTTTT